AGTCCTTCATATTTCTCTTCATAACCTACTATTCGGTCCTTTATAAATCATAAGTATGTCACTAATTTCTTGTTGTAATTTCCGATGCACTAACACAAATATTTAAAGTGCAGATAAACATCAAAATGTTTGAATCTAATCACATTATCGTCATTTCATTGTGATATAGTCACATGATACTTATTTACCTATCCGTTTCTCTGCAGTTCTTCCTCGAGGACTTTTCATTACATCGCAAAATATATTAAAAAAACTGTCATCAAATACAAATAACAAGATGTTTACACAATTATTATGTTTGTTGTTTTAGTGATATATTTGAAATAGGTTCGGATCAATAGACTATCCGGGAATAGGCGCAATATATGCGCCCGAGTTACAGAACACCCGTCCCACAGTCGAGGTCAGAGGTCATCGCACCGATGCGGAAATGCATGAAACCGCCATAGAGAAATGCTCCAAGAAATTAGTGATATACGTGATATACTTATGATTTATAAAGGACCGAATAGTAGGATATAATGTGAAATATGAAGGACATCAGATTTGAGAAATATGAGGAACTAAATTAATTCCAATATATTTTCAAGTAATTTTCCAGAAATTAATACACCTTTTTTCTGAGTTGGATGAGGCCATTGATGATATTCAATGTTACAATTCTAGATAGTATTAATTATTATGTATTATATATGAAAACTACACAATTTACTAAATACCTCACCAATAATTAATTTCTGCAATTTGATTACGTTGAATAAAAAATCAAAAATACTTATTGATAAGAATAATAAATCAAATATTTCTATAGATTTGTTCGATCAAAACAAATTTGTTAGATATAAATATAAAGGTACATGTTTTTACAAGATTATAAGTCCTATCCACAAATTACTGAACTTCAAATGCTGCAGGATAAATATATTAATATTATCAAATAAAATCGACCTAGATATTAAAACAAATTTTGAATGTTTTAGTATAAAACGATTTATAATGAACCAAATTGCAAGATATAGAGTGTAATATAATAGAACTCAAATAAAATTATTGGACGTATATAGAACACTGTTATTGATGAGAGTAATACATCGAACAAATTTATTCATTGATTTCATTTTCGTTTTAGTTTTTTTCTCAAAATATTGAATTCCAATATTTTAGCAACAAAACTTTTATCGTGTTCTTTGAGCTGTAGTAATGTATTTCCTTACAACCTAGTATTATTAAAAGATAATCCAATGTCTATAAAAGCTATTTTATATCGAGTCCATTCAAATATAGATTTTCGAGTGAAAAATTAAATCACTACTGCTTGACACTAGGTTGTCCGAAAGAAAACTGCAATTGCAGCCTCGTTGTTGCAATGCTAAAGCTCTTACCGTGTTCAATAACAACTCCATCAGACAATATTTATACTGAATAAATTTCTTGATTTTTTATTGCAAAACAATAAAAAGATGAAAATGGTTAATAAATATAATTAAAAAAAATTTCATAATAAAAAGTGAGTTAAGGGTAGGATAAATAAATTGTGATAACTATTGAAAACATAATTTAAATATCTGTGTGAACGAGTAAAGGTACAAAAAGTATACTATATAATTTTTCAAAAAAATATTAATCTATTAGTAAAATTGTTTTTTAAATAACAATAATCAAAAAATGTTTCACTCTGCGAGTATCCTTATACTCCAAACATAAAAGTCTCGAATAAAGAACGATCAAAATGTGCAAATCAATATTTTAAATTCTCACCATTTTACAAAAGAAAAATACTTCAAAGTAGTTTATTTTAACTTGTGAACTCTGCACTTTTCAATTCTTTCAAGTCGTGCAAATATGGAAAAATACATTCCAGATCAGAAAAATTGAAAAATTCTAGCTCTGATTGGAAAATAGTGAAAATACTTCTAAGCTTCTGCTTCGTAAATATCACGAAAATCTAATAATAAATAAAGAAAAATGTGGATCTTTAAATATTTCAAAATATTTCAGGCAATTAATATGATTGATTATATAGTGTTTGGGACGCAAAATCATAATTTAAAGTATCTACTCTCATGTTCAAATGCCTATTAATTATATTAACATAAATATGTGAACATTAAAAAAATTCAATCTTTGAAGGAATTAATTAATATATCAAGAATAGCTAAGGCATCGAGCCAGTTTGAAATACCCTTAAATCTTTATACTTCAGTAAAAAAATCAGAATTTTGACTGAATATTTTTATTTTGATTTATTACCTCTAATAAACAATTATATTTTTCATTTCAATAACATATACGTATATATATTTCAAACACAAAAATGCAATGATACCACTAAATCCCGTTTCAATTTAAATTTACTTTACTTCGATTTAGAAAGTCAATAAATAATCATGAAACTTTGGCATCGGTGAACTTCAGAAGACTTAAATTGAGTTTCGTAGATACCTATCAGTTAGTTCCTAAAGATATCCATTGAGAATAATCAATCGTTGTCGAATGATTTAATGAATGAAATAGCATCTATCTCTTAAAAATATATTTAAATTAATTATAAATTCACCAACGAAAAATATTCGAAGAACTACGAAGAATTATGAAGAACCCAAGACAAAAATTTAAGACTCACTGATTAACATTTTGAATTATATCAAATGTGTGTGTAATTTGGCTCAGTTTTAATAGTACTTAAGTATTTTAATATTAAGATTCAATTTTTAAAAAAATATAAAACAAATTATACATCTTAAGTATTTATTTAAATTTTTGAGAAGTAAACACCCCTTTAGATTTTTTATTCAGTGACCTAAACTGCAGCAGCTTTTTACGTCAGAATTTTTTAAGTTCTTTAAGAGCTTTTAAAAATAAATTCGCATTTTAGAAAGAGTATTTTAAATGGTTCCCATTATTTAAGACACATTCTAGTTTTCTTTCTGTAGTACATGATGTGGGATTTAAAATGTGCGGATTAAAAGCTTTAACTCGTTTGCATATTCCATGTAGAATATTTAGATATTCAACACATAATGAGAAAAACTGCGTTTTATTACATTCGTTTGAAATTAAAACGTTTATGTAAAACTTCTATAAAATTTATTTTGAATTTTATTTAAATATAACAAACATACCTGAACTTAATAAAGAAGCAGTTAACTATATTCCTAAAATATCAATGCATAAAATATTGTTAATTATTTCTCAGAATAATGAAATATCAGTATGTATATACAACAAATTCTATTTAATGTAAGTAGTTTAGTTTTAAAAACAGATTATTATGAAAAATATTTTTCATGATAATAAAACTTGTAAATTAATGATAAATTTCAAATTATGAATAATTATGCACTAGTGTTTATTAATTTATATATTGGTTATCAATATCAAATTATTTAAGTTATTCAAAGAGTTTTTAAATGAATAATGATAAGATTTGATAATAATCATTAAATTCGAAAAACTTTGCCCCATTCTCACAATTTTTACTTACTGCAATAAAACTTTTATGTTTTTCTATCTTTAGAATATGTCAATTTCCAAAATCTGGCAACAGTCAGAGAAGTCATAATTTTTTTTTTGTCAATATAATAAATCTAGTACCCAGGTAGAAAACCTTTTTATTTTCACTTGTCGTTTTCAAAAATGATTTATTTTTTAGAATTATTAGTTTTATTATTAAGGATTAGTAGCACATTCTCGATACCGAAGCACCAAGGTAAGTGGAATACAATTTGCTAACTTGGATAAAATGAGACTGGAAAAATCAAATCGAGCAAAATTATAGCAAATTTGAAGTGTAATGAGACCCTACTAGATCGATCAATCAAATTAATTATTTTTAATAAAATATCTTTTTATAATTCTAATGCTTTTCAAGACCTGATATTTTAATTTTTATGACAATTTCATGATTGAACCTACCTCAGTTATAATAATGCAATAATTTTATCGCGTTCAAGGATCAATTCAACCCTTTCCACTTGAAATTGCGTGATTTTTATGAATTTTGGCATCCGAGTGGAAAGGGTTAATCATTTTGCTACGGGCTTCGTTAATATGCAACATCCTTTAAATGACATGCGTGTACGAGTGTCATCTACAGACGACATTTAGTGTGTTGACTTTTGCTTTGAAATTTGTTACTCTGAGTTAAATTATTAGGAATTCCAATTTGTAATTACAATATTTTTCGTATCACTCCTACGGAAAACACTGATGTAGCAAAAGCGTTAAAAAATATTCAAGGAAGTATTCTGGTGAGAATTTAAAAAAATCGATTATGTTTTTTCAACATTTTCAATATTTATCCAAATAATTTGTACATAAGGACTTTTAGGAGAAACATCTCTTGGAGATTGGGATCCAATGCCTTAGAGGATTTTTGGGAGATATTATCGTTTTAACTCGGAACAGTCTTTTTCCCCGCCCACGATTTTTCTATTCTTACTGGACCACTTTACCTAAAACTTTACAAGGTTTTTTTTTTCATGGACTTCTCTTCAATATGAACTTGACTCATCCTGAAATTGCGATTTTACTATTTTCAAATATTGCAAAAATTACGAAAAAGTTGTAATTTTTATTTCAATTATTCCCTATTTTGTGAAACCTGTCATACGATTGCGACATTATTCTAGATTAGTAACTCATTACGATAAGTTCAGATTATTTGTAGGCTTAAAATTATGGGTATGGTAAAGTGTCAATTTTTTGAGACTCCACACTTTTTTAAAACTTTAAAATTAATATATCAAAGCATTTTTTTAATAATTTGTAAAAAATATAGTGAAAATATTGTTTGCCATCTCTTTACGGTCATTTAAAAATCGCATAAAATTTGTTCTTCAAACCACAATACCCATAGAGCTTATAATACATGTATTATAAAGTCTATGAGAATTTGCGTTTAGATGATTTTGCAAATAACTTTGTTATTGCGTTGCCAAGCAACATGCAATACTAATATAAATACGCAAACCTGTTGATATTACCAATAATTTTCAACAATGTCGTTTTTTCGTGCAATTATAAAAGCAAGTTTACTCGAGAGAAAACTATTGCGTTATCAAGAAGAGAAGAAAGTAGCCCTCAACGATTACCTTAAAGGTAGAAAACGCAGACGTGCGAAAATACCCCCAAAGTTTACTTCAATCGAGCAGCAATTTGCTGGGGCGTCATTATGGCGCAGAATGCGAAAAGATGGAACCTTTGCAAATGCTGTGATGAAGAGCTTCTTTGGATTCTGTGGAGGCTTTGTATTAACTTACATTTTCTTCGTATTTTTTGTTTTCCAACTAAATTTTACCATGTGGAGTGCAACCTGCTTGGCGTCAGTGGTAGGGTGCATTTTGACCCTGGGCTTGGCGTTTAGTAAACGTGTGCGATGTATGGTTTTCCTGTTGCTTCCTCAGTTTTTTAGTAAAAGAGGACGCCAAGCCTTGGCTGCTTATGCCTTTATATTAGCTTTGACAGGACCAGCAAAAAACACTTTACACAACACGAATGTTTTATCGGAGTCATTAGCTTGTGGGCAAGAACAACTCAAATCAGCAGCAAGAGAAGTAATAAATATAATCAAAAAACCATACTACGCCATCAAGAATGCTATCAAAAAGCTTGCAAGCATTATATCAAAAATTATTGAAAAATTGCGAGCAGCCTTCACTGCCTTGAAAAAAATAATAATGGGCATTTTAGGGGTTATCAAATCTGCGTTTCAATGGCTTGGCAGTGTGGTGAATATTTGTAACAAGAAATTTGGAACACCTTTTCAAAGATGTATGAACGTTTTTGATGATGCAATAGTGGATTGCAAAGCTAAATTAGGAAGTGTGTTCGGTTGGATGTGTTCTGTGGCGTATGTTGCAAGTGCACTCTGCTACACGGTGAAATTTTTGGGTAAGTACCAAATAACTGGTAAGTACTATGTAATAAGGTATCAATTTCATGATTGAATTTCTTAGCAATGCCCTCATACCATTCCTGCGTCAGAAATATATTTACTTATTCATATATTATTATGATCATATCCTGAGTAAATACTTTGACATTTACATCCATTACATGCTCAAGAGTATTTGACCTTTAAATCCATTACATGTTCATTCAGAAGTAATATTGAAACAAAGCCTCCAGATGTGATGTGAATAGAATGTATTATAAATTAGGATAATGTGAGTTATTAAGTAAAATAAGTAAAACCTTTATTGAAATTGATTAATTCAAACAGTAAATCAATATAAATATAAAAGGTTTTCATTCATCTATATTTTAAAACTTGTGACGCCTTATATATCTAGTAAAGTACTTCATAAAGTTGTATGCAAGAACTTGTAGATGCATATTTTATAAATCCTACGTTTTATCAAGAAAGTTCTTTTCTTTTGGGAATACCAGATGACATTAAATTTAAATTAGTGTCGTAAGTATAGACAGTTTGATATTATTTTCAGGAATTATTTGAATTGATTCGCGATTCACATTTGGCACAGTTGTCTTCCATAATCAAAAAAAAATCATATAGGAACAATATGTTAAATTTCAAACCTACGTTAAATATTTGTATACTAATGTATGTTGTACGACTACCTTTGACGTAACCTCTTAACAATTTTTTTCATAATTTAGTACAATTATGAACAGAATACATTTTTAAATGGATGGTTTCATAACATATTAATAAATTAAAAAAATTATTCAGCTTGGATATCAAATCCGGACAATACCAGAATACAAACTTTAAACCACTATTATAATTTGAAAAAGCAAAGTGTAATTAAAAATTTTTTTTTTAATTATAATATTGTTTCAAAGTTTACGTGTCGGTTTTGTCATAGTTTGGTATGTATATTTTTACACATTAAATTTCAAAATTAATGTTTTTTTATTTCAATAATTGTATTCGCAGTGTAAAATCTTTTAGATTTGCTGAATGATGACACACAAAGTGTCAAAACATAAAAATAATATTAATAATTTACCTTTTCAATTCGTCCAATGAACTGCCAATTGTTCCAAAAATGTTTGAACGTTGAAAAAATAATCAAGATATACATGGTGTCCCAGAACTTAACGTCGATCTGGAACGGTGATAGTATTGACCTTCACTGTCCTGAAATAAATAGAGAAAACATTATTTCATGCTTGTAAATTATGAGTTTTGGTGAAAACTTTTATTTGCTTATTGTAGTTCATTTACATTAGTTTTCTTTTAACTTTGGAACAGTAACCGTGAATAACATTTCTGAGACCATAGTAAAATATAATAACACAATAAAATTCGAAAATGTCCATATTAAGGACCACCCTAGTATATACATATATATATATATGTGTGTATTATAATGATGCAATTTAAATAAAATAATATGAAGCGAAATATAATAAGATTGCTCTTACTATGCAAGAGCAATGTATGTAGAGAAATAGTAAAACATGCCATTAGCATTAGACTGATATAATAACATGCTTCTATTTTATTGTCTTGAGTGAACCAATACGACTAGCATTTTGTAAGATTTTCTAGACAGTAGTAGTAAAAAGAGCGTCATAAACTACTTATGTTTGTAAGAAAAAAATTCTCCATCTCCACCTATGATTTTTTTTTTGATTCTTTACTGTGTCGATTCTAGACTATATTTGTATGCTGCTCGACTTCATCAGTGACAGCATAATTGGAAGTATCAAGAAGAGGTTTCGCCGTTTTGTCACTCACATCCGAACTATGTTTTTTGTATCCATAAAATTTAAGCATTCCTTTGATTTCGAGACAAATCAGTCAAGATCGATGAGCGAAGTGGCCGCCGGAATGATGACGGAGGTCAAACATAGAACTGATACAGTTTTAGCCGTTTTCGACTGGATGAGTTGTGCAACTAGCTTCTTTTTTCTGTTTATTGTTGTAAAGGTCTTCAATTATCGGAGGAAGTATTTGACTGTAGAACATTTCGATAACAGGTAAGTATAAAAGAATCATAGAATATGTGGTAAGGTTTCTCAAATCGTGCCACTTCCTAAGTTTTACTCCAAATGATAAATGTAAATTACATCATCTGGTACTATTGAATGAAACTATCAAGTAAACTTCATAATTAGAAAACTGGTGACTATTGTGAAAACAAATAGTTAAATGGCTATCAGTAAATTTTCTACTAATATTTTTAGCTCAATTGCAATTCTATTATGGCAAGAATATGATCCTGACAATTTTTCTTTAATAACGTTTATTTATATTACATATATGTTCCAGTTATGCCATTAGTTTTAAATTCGAAATTCCAATATCATCCAGCTTAAGTCTTCAAATACTTGCATCTGTGCAAGTTTTCTTACTCATACCAGTTTAATTTATAAATATGAAGAAAATCCGAATAAATATAGTTTTCCAAAGTATTTGCTCAAATTAACAAACACCAAGTTGATGTGAATAATAACGGCTGTATCTTCATAAATAATAAACAAATACAGCAAAATCGACTTCGGAATTAATTTTTTATCCACTATTATTCATTATTAATTGTTTTAGGCAATAGATAAATATTACTATATTTTACTTCTAAGAGCTTCTAAGATTTTTGAAAGGCTATATGTGGTAGGTACCAGAAGCACAATTTTGAGAAAACACATATTTGAATATAAAAAGTTTTATAATTGTGAATAACAAATCAACTAAATAAGGATTTAAAAAACGCAAGTTTTTTTTTCAATTTAATTGCACTAAATATTATTAACTTTTTTACTTAGAGGTACGACGTAAGCAACCTTACTCTAATATAAATTTTTATGTTTTTGTGTTAACGGCTTTTTATAAATTAACTGTTTTAATATTTTATGTATTCATTCTGATTGGTAATTTAATATCAGAAATCATACAAAAAATCAATGATTTTAAGAAATTGAATTATATTAGAAAAATATTTAAACAAAAATTATAATAGCCTCTAGTATAATTATTGATTCTTTGCTTCAGTATTAGACTTCTGTTTTTTTTTATTGTTAACAAGTATTAGACGAAAACAAATTTAGAAAATTCGATCTAAATCCAAAATCTTATATCATGTTATGAGCTTTTAATTACAGTAAGCTTTGGTACAGCAAAAAAAATTGTATAATCTTTGATAGCAAAAGAAATAAAGATGATTATTGAAGCGTAGTAACAGAGAAATCAGGAAATACCAAAACTATTAATTTTGATACTTGTGTACAAATTTTATAGTTTATGATATCATTGAATAATAAAATTAGAAGCTCAAAATTACTGCTCACAAAAAAATTAAAGACTGAATTAAATGTAGGTACAATTTTCTATGAGCACTATTATATAGTTTATATTTATTAATTTCGATGCTTTTGTACAAATTTCATCATTTTGATTAAGGCTATCATTGAATAATAGGATTAGAAACTCAAAATTATAGTTGACAAAAAAATTTTAACGGCTAAATTATTTATATGTACAATTTCCTACGACCACTATATATAGTCTTATTTTGAAAATAAATATTCTAAATATTTGCTTAATGTCGATTAATGTTTAATTAATGAATATCAAATTATTTTAAATCACTTATGGTAATTAATTTATATTACTATTATTATTAATGAATATCAAATCATTTTAAATAACTTATGGTATATAAGATATAATAACAGTAGATAAATATATTGCACTTTGCTTTAAGCCAGGTTATATATTATATTCTTATATAAAGCTTTTCGCAGAATATCAAAAAGTATATTATGTTTTCATGGAAATGTAAATTTCTAAAAAATACATAGTTTATTTACCACAAGTGATATGTTATAAGGTGACCATATGTCCCGATTTTCCGCCTTGCGTCCCGGTTTTTTTTTAAAGGCCATATTTGTCCCGGTTTTAAGTGTTTTGTCCCGGATTTTTAAAAATAGTTCGATTGCCGATATTGTTTAAAATATATTTCAACTAGAAAATTTGAACCAAAAAATGTGCATATAAGTTTTTAGCTCACCAACGCCCAACACACCCCCTGACATTCTCTACATAACATTCCGTCCCGGATTTCGTACAAAAAAAGGTCACCTTATATGTTAACTACTAATAATTTAATGTCTTAAATAATGATTTATAATTATAATACATTTATTCTAGAAACTTTTGATATTTTATCTTTATTATAGATATATCACCGACTACCTACGTGACATCGACTTCGTCCGGGCCAAACAAGACAAAGAAACTGTATTTCCCCTGAATCGTCGCGAAAGGAACAAGTATATAGCGCTCAATTCGTGCAGATTATTGAAAGAGGAACGTGTAAAATTGACCAAGTCAATGATATTTCTACTAATAATGTCATTTAAATTGTGTGCCCAAATGTTAGCTGACTACACGCTTTATTGGCTTTTGGCTAACATTCGATATCATGGGCGTAGTCAAAGCCCTATCGAAATGCCTGATGTCGCAGGAGCAACTGTGAATGGAGAAGGTGAGATAAATGACATTTGGTAAATATCAGTGTATTTAAATATACTAGATGACCCGACAGACGTTGTCCTGTACCCACGTCTACAAAAGTTCCAAATTTTTTAATATCCTATCCTACACTTTATATTATCCTATTCGATGCCCTGCCTTTATGATTCATTTATGGTCTTAGTATAATCAGTATAAAAAATTCAAAAAATAATAATATAGTATCTGTGGTAAAAGAACAATATCACACTTAATTTTACCACACAACATATTTGCTTCAATAATTTTGTCTATAGTTTTCATAGTATCGTACGGTATATTAGTTGCTTTTTAGCAATTATAATTTCTGAAGTACATTTTTCTTTATATAATTAAATAATTTTATAATTTTATAATTATAATAAATAAATAATTTTATAAACATTATTGTTCATGTTGAAATCTTAGGTGAATTAATTTGTAAAATCTAGTTTATATGAGCACTCTTCAATCTAAGATCAACTTGCTAAATATTCCATATATCCAATGCCAAACAAATGAATTTTCGACGAATGAAATAAAATTTTAAATCATTTTTTTTAATAAGTACGAATATTTTTTGTATTAGTGAATAATTTAGTAAAGTAGATCAAAATGCGACATGCATAAGTTTAAAAAATAATGTATATGCAATTTTGGACTTGTTGCGTGATATATTGAACTAAGTTATATAATTTCATCCGCCAAATTGTATCTTATTTTATTTTAATTCCCGGCACATCTCAGCTGCTTTTCGGCAATGATAATGTAGACATTACATTTTTCTTATATTTTATATTCCAATATTATCTAGGCTCATAATTTCAAAATTCAAATTTCAAGTGAATTGACATTTCTAGGAGATGAGAGTTCAAATGATTTCAATGTCAAACAAAGATAAGTGTTTTTTTGTGATTTTTGCCATTTATTTCTACAGTGTTACTCTAGTTTTATCGTTCATTGAATCTTAAAAATTTCCTTTGACAAACTTTAAATTGAATTATCAAAACCCGAAAAACAGTGTAGGAGAAGTATCAGATCATAACCCGTACAGAAGAATATTATATATAAGGCAGGTATATACTCGTATATATATATATATATATATATATATATATATATGTATATATTTATGTATATATATATATATATATATATATATATATTATATGAATATAGTTCAATTAAAAAAAACTATGCCGAAACAATCATAGCTTTAAAGTGAATTTCTAGATAGTGAAGGATTCAAAATAGTTTGTTTTCTTTGAAAAATATATCAGTTTTGACTATCAAAATAAAACTAGTTAAAGTTTTTCAGCATTTAGTTGCAAAGAAACGGCTTGGCCAATCTTCACCAATAACTAATCAACGCGATTCTCAACCAACATTTTTCCAAGAGTTTTTGAATTAAAATCGATTTAAGATTGTAGGCTCTACTAATTACAAATAAACGGGTTAGCCGATCGTCGCACAAAAGTTACAAACGCTAGTCCTTATCATGCTACATATATTGGTTTTTAAACATTTGAAATTGGTGTTTGAAAAAACGTCGACGAAAGATCAAAAATCAGCTCATAAACACACACATATACTTTTTCCAAATTGTGTCTCCGATTCGGAATAATTCGAAAAGTCCAGAAAACAAAATTTGCAAGTCGGATTTTTTCGTGAAAACAAACTTCCCTATCTCGAAGTTCACAAATTAAACAAAAACATATTTGTTCATTCAGAGTGTAAATAATAAAGTTATGAAGTTGATACTAATATAGTAAATAAATTTTAGCCGTAGTAAAGAATATCTTGGTTTTAATTAATCTAAATATTTTAAAATATATGCTATGCTCTACTTCTACAATTCAAATATTATTTTATCAAACTTCAGAAACTAATTTAAAAACATAATTAAGAAATTAATGAATAATTCTTGTAAAACCTAGTGAAGCTAGAATATTTAATCAAGCAAATTTATATATAGTTTTATAATAAAATATTCATTTTCAAACACAATGTACATAATTTTGGTAACATTATATTCGCCGTGTATAATTTCAATTTCAAAGCAAAAGAGAATCCACAATTTTTATCTATTAAAATATTGCTGTATAAATAATATTATTATGCAAATTACTGCACATATAATTTACCATTCCATAATTTCAGTTAACACAAAAAATATCACACACAAATAAAAATGTCAACACAAAATTAAAATTATTATACATATCGTTTCGCTAAATATTTAAACAATAATGAATAATAATTTTGTTATTCAAACAACAATTGATCATTCAATCAATCAAGCATGCATTTAATATTTTTAATTATAACAACATGCATTCAATCTTTTTAATTATTTGTGATGACTCATTATTTTGCATTGAAAAAAGTTTTCATAATTTCATAATAATAATAATAATTTTATTATAATAGTTTCATAAGCTAATTGCTAATATAAGATGTGAAATGTGTAAATAAATTTATTTCTTATAGTCCAGTCATTATAGTTAGTTCACCTCGGAATTCGAGATACCCAGCTGTAAGTCTGTAAATACTTGTATATTGACATTTAAAAGTTGCCTCAAAACCTTTTTTTTTATTGTAGGTTTTGAGACAACTTTTGAATGTCAATATACAAGTGTATACAGACTTACAGCTGGGTATCTTGAATTCCGATATTCTTACCTAATTTAAGCTTGAATGACTGGACTACTATATTTAATTCATTTTCTACTGAAGTAAATCGATTTCCCAATGTCCTAAAAATATTTTGTTTTGTTTCCGTTTATTCAGGCATAGTGGGAGATCTGTTGAGGGGCATTATTAAAGCTTTCACGCCGATAACTTCGAAGTTTAACCTGGACCCTACGCCCTGCCTGCCCGATCCGGTTCCGCCTGACATAGACAGATACGTGCAGATAGTGTCATTGATCGTCATTTGCTGGTTATTGGCAATATTTGAACCGTACGGCTTGAGATTACGACAGGTAATAGAAAATTGTCATAAGCTTGCTAACTTAGAGCATTATTTAGATACTTACAACTTACAACATTTTTACTTTCTATCCTTTACACGACATTTTTAACTTCCGGTAGGGTAAGTTATAGTAATCGCAAAAAAATCGAAAATGAAAATTTTTATATATCTTTACGTTTCAAAGATTTCTGAAATAATGCATACCTTAGAAAAAATGGATGTTTGTGTGTGTGTGAAAATTTAATAATGTGTACACATTTTGTGTAATTTTTTTGCGTTCTCTACAAAAATTTTTAATTACGGTACAGGAAGTTTCAGCAATTTGCCTTAAGGCACGATGCCATGCACCCCACTAGTTATATCGTATTCTGATCAGTATTTTTATATGTACAATTTTACTTTCTCTTTCGCAAATATAATTTCTCATCAAATTTCTACTTTGTGTCATAAGTCTTTTGACTTGACGCAATAACAACTCAATTTTTCAAAGTAGTAATTTTACAATAAATTTTTGTACATAGTTGTGAAGCTCAAACCAAGTACCCTTTCCGTGCAAATTGGGTTAAATATTGATTGATCAGTGTTGAATACATTCAAATCAACCTCACGAAACGGGAAAAACTCATATATTAAAAAATCTTTCGTATAATTTAGGAAATTTCAAGTTTAAAAAACATACCGATATTTAATGAAAATATAGTTTTCAATTATGTTTAAGGAATTTCTAATAGAAATCCCAAACTTACAACGCGAAAACAAAATTTTTCTGTTTTTTGAAATACTAAATTCTTTATTATATTTTCTCAGAGGCTTTCATTAATTATATTATTATATTGCTATTCACATTTACTGCAGTTATTATTTTTTTACTGTAGTCATTTCTTTCATAACTGGAAATAATAAAGATCTTCAAGATTTTCGTCATTAATGACTATATTATTATCGATATTATGTATGAGGATTTTGTTTGAAAATAGTAAAATATAGATAACACAAAACTGTATGTTATTTAGAATTAGAACCATGAAGGACCTTCATAAATTATTAAAATTATTATAAGATATATCACATATATTATTCACATAAAAATCACTAACGACAGTAGCTTTTTATTTTATATTTTTAATAGATAGTTACTTTATATATTCATTTTTCTATTTGTTCATAAAAGTTCATATTAAATTGAATAAAAAGAGGCTCATATGCTTCCAAATTGATAAAAAAAAATCCCTGAAAGTTTTAGCTCCTAATTTTAACTTGCATATAGGCCGCATTCCAACTAAAATTTCTTAGTTTTTCTTCCTGAGTAAAAACTTATTTTATGAAATATATCAAATTTTTCTTGTAAATTTTGATTTATGATCAAAATAAGCAAATTCAATGTTATTCTCAAAATTTTGATTCACTTGTCGCTAAGTTATAAAATTCTATAAAACAAATGGAATTTTGCCCATGTTATTTCTATAAAAGACATCGGTTGAAGTGCAGGCAATCTTAAAGTTAATATTATGAGCTAAACCTATCAGGGGATATTTTTTATATCAATTTTGGAGCAATTCAGCTCCTAAAAGTAAGGAAATTTGAAAACATCCAAATGGAGAATCACCCTAATATTATATATATATATATATATATATATATATATATAAGTGTCCCAGAACTCAACGTCGGGAAAAATTGGAGTGTAACAGGCATAAAAAATGAGAAAAAAAATTCTCACGCAGTGAAAATGATAAGCTTTTAGTTGCAATCTAGAACTTTGGTAAAAATGTGATTATTTTTCGGTCGTTGTGGTTAATTTTAAATTGCATGCGTAATCATGAATAACATGTCTAGAATCGCAATAAAAATAATGATATAATAATTAATTGTTAATTGTCTCATTAACACTTTAAATTTGGTCATATGTGAGTTCGCGCGGCATCCATTTAGCATAGAGTTTTTTCTTATTCAGATAGTCGTGTCATGTGGACTTATTGAGTCACACATGTTAAATGCCCAAGTTTTCAAGTATTAGGACCTTTTCAAACTATACATTTGAAATTATCGAAATTGGTCGGCTTTAAGATGCCCTCCTTTAAAAACATGCTTCAACTTGTGTTTGTAAGTTTCATCAAAAATTAACAATCAATATATTTATGTAAGGAAATTCCTCACTAGGGAAATTTCTAAATGCCTTGTACCCAACAGCAAATAACCCTATTGAACCCAAGGTTCAGATTGGTTATGAGAAATAAATAAATAAATAAAAAATTATTAAAAGTTGACGCATTTAAAATTCAATCAAAACAATCAGTGAAAAAACACGTTCTTATCAATACGATGTTCAGAACAATCACCTAAACAAAGCATAACTGAACATCTAAAAATATTCAAAATCCCCAGAAATTATTTTAACGTTCATAGTTCATTAACTACAGCTGATACAATAATGAAATTTTTTATTAACAACAATCTCACTAACATTTTAACGCAAGCTAAACTTAATCTTTATGAATTGAATTCTAATCATTCAAAACTTTTCTTTCTAACTCCAAATCGTCTAAGCACGAAATTACATAGGCATGATAAAAAAATCGATTAAAAAAATCGTACCTAAAAATCTCGACCATTGATTGACATATTCCTGAAAATTTATGTCTCTGTAATCCAAAGTAAATTATCTATTTCCAATTAAAATCGATCTTTAGATTTACCACAAATTGTTTTTCCCATAGATCGTGATGGCTAATTATCATCCCCAAAGGGCACGTCAGCGAGCAGTGTGGCTCTACAACCACATTATACGATCCAGGGGAAACTTCCTAACCTTCACCAGACGTCAACTAAGGACCCGTTTTAGTAAAGGTACTCGTACTTTGCATATGCCAGATGGATGAATTATATTCGACTAGATCGGAACTTGAAAGTTTCTAGTAAGAACTTTTAGGTGACGAGTTTGTTTGGATGAATAGATAATGCGCTTTTGATGAAATGGTAAATGGTTGGGGACATAGAAGTTGAAAATTTGGAAAAGATGGTATAATTTGGCTAAATGAAAACACTTCATTCATATCGTTGCTATAGTATGTTTATTAAATTTTTTACGAGTGAGCGAAATGTTAGTTCATACGAATAATTGAAATTACTAATAAACTTATCGAAAACTTACATACATATTCCCACATCAAAAGTTGCACGGTTAGATTAAATATAGTAATTATTTAATATTTTTAATATTAAATATATTCTAGATACATCATAATGTCTGCATCAATATGTCATCGATGATACCTCTAATTAGAACAGTTTATACGATTGAGTCTGCAATTAATTGATTTCTAAACTTGAGTTTTCACGTTTTCGCTTCCCTTTTCATTAAAAGGCAAAGGAGTATATAAATGGAGGATAGTTAGTTTCCTGCTGAAAACTTATCCAGTTACCATAAGACCGTCAGGTTACTACTAACTATCGAAGCAATTCCACTTTGAGTGGAAAATCGAGAAATGCGTTTCCATTTTGTTATATAAAGTTAGTTTAACCGCTTTTACAACTCACGAGACGTGGTTGAATGGAATGGCTTTATACAATTTGAAGCACCAATAGATGATAAAAATAATGATCAATTATAATTGCACGGATATGGAAAAGTAAATTTCAAAAGTAATCGTGATTTTACTAGACATATTTTAAATATGGAAATTCAGTCGCAATTTTAAATATAACTCTTTACTTTATTGTTCTTCTAGAAAACAGACGAGTAGCGGTATACGTATTGGTAAATGGTAATAGAATCGTATAAAATTGATTTTAAGTTAAAATTTTAAATATTCTGTTTAAGTTTGTTGAACATATTTAATGTAACAAGTTATTATTGCACATATATGTACTAAGATGGTCCTTAATATGGCCATTTTCGCATTTCCTTGCTCCCAATGGCACAAATGGTTCTAAATTGATAGAAGACAATTCTCTGAAAGTTTTAGCTCTTAATATTGTCTTTTAGATAGAGCGCAATTCAATTAAAAATGCTTATCACGATAAATATTACGTTATCGTGTTTGTATAAACTAGGACATTTAAACAAGACATGAATTACCTTTTATTTCATGAATAATTTTAAAAAAATGAATGACAATGCAAGAAGTATGACAAATGTGTTAAAGAAAAGAAAAAGGTAATATTGTGTGTTTTGTATCAGATGCTTCAACAAACTTAGGTATTACTTTGATCTAAGGTATCTTATTAGGTTAGAGCTATAAGATTTTATTCGGATGTCCCAGGTTCAACATCTTCAACGGATAGCCTGATGTCAAGCAGTATTCACATTGATTTTTACTTGGAAATATAGACAGCAATTCGTCTTCAAGCAAAAATAGTACCGGGGATTGCTGCAATATCCCAATTAAAATGACAACCGAAAAGTTGTCTGCTATTAGCGTTCTATATTAAACATAAAAGTGATATAGTAGTGATATAGTAAAAACAATGAAGAGATTGCCTACTAATATTTGTGTTCTCAGTAACTTATAGAACACGTAGATGAAACACTTACAAAATGGTGTACATGGACAAAATGACAGTGGCCTTAAAACCATAATAAAAATCCTACCAGATGTTGAGCGTCGTTGTTAGTCATGTTGCAGAAATCCGTTTAAAGGTGTTTCGCGCTTTGCAAAATTTATTATAATAAAAATACTCTCTTACAGGTAATCAATAAAACAAAGATGAGTAAAAACGATTGTGACTGGTTATAATATAATTAAATAAATGAGTATGATTAAAAACCAAAGCATAATGACGTTTTGTCCAGACTTACTGTAAGAGTATTATTGTTTACTATTACAAATTACTTAATGAAATCTATTCAATCTCTCATTTTTCTCAGGTAAATCAGGAGTGGATAAAGTGACATTCGTGGAAATGGTGCGAGCTAAATTGATCAACATTCCTGTGATCCGTTTTTTTCTCGATGATAAAAAACAAGTATCCTGTCTGGTGTGTGCATCTATTGAGCGCAAAGGCGAGACTTTCATACGATGCGCGACTCCCGCCTGCATCGGAGTTTTCTGCGAAAGTTGTTTCGGGGACTTGCACAATAAATGCACTATTTGCCTGGATCCTATCTCTTACGGTAATTTGATAATAAATATTGAGAAAATATTGAAATATCTGTCTACTATTATCACTATTGTGGGATACAGGAACCTTTGTATACCACGGTAGTTGAAAAAAAAGTACCCACCCTTCTAATTTCGAAGTAGGGGAATTAACAATTTTATCAATATAACCATTTACAGTATCATATATATTTTTAAACAAATATCATTTAAACTAACTTGAAGCAAATTGCTGGAACTTTCCGTACCAAAAACTAAATTATTTAAAAAAAAGTTTCAAAACTTTGAAATAATTAGATTTTTGAGAAATTGTAAAATTTTAGAAAAAAAATGGCTCTCTGAAAAATTTCCCGTAAGGCAAGTTATAGTAATTACAAAAAAAATGAAAATGAAAATTTTTATATATCCTTACGTTTCAAAGGTTTCTCAAATATTTTTGCATACCTCAGAAAAAATGTATGTATGTTTGTGTTTGTGTGTGTGCGGATACAGATTTTCGTCGACGATTTCGGGAACACCGATCACCGATTGTAATAATTCAAAAAACATTCGATTCGTATTGATAAGGGGACGTGCTGATTGGTTTTTGGCGTAAGCGGGTCTAGCCGTTCCGAAGATATGGGCCAAAAAGTGCTGAAAGCGGTAACTCAGTTTTTAGGAGAACGGAGCGTTCGATTTTGATAATTCAAAAAACATTTTACTTGTATTGACAAGATGAAGAACTGATAAATTTTTTGGAAAGGCGGATATAGCGGTTATAGACTCTCAATAAAAATAAGTTTAAAAAATGGCATTTTGCGGTCAAAAATGTTTATTGGACATATGTACATCAAATTATCAGATTAAATCATCATTATTTTATATAGGATTTTGAAAATGTGTACACATTTTGTTTAAATTTTTCTGGGTTCCATACAAAAGATTTTTAATTACGGAACGGAAAGTTCCAGCACTTTTCCTTAATGCACGATGCCATGCACCCCACTAGTTTTTGAATTATTCAAATCGGTTAAACCGTGTTCCCAAAAACGTCGACAAAAATTTGTATCCTATCACACACACACTTTGCCTTAATGCACGATGCCATGCACCCCACTAGTTTTTGAGTTATTCAAATCTTTCAAACTGCGTTCCCAAAAACGTCGACAAAAAATTGTATCCTAGCACACACTCACACACATACATCAATTTTTTGGTATGCCAAAATGTTCAGAAACCTCTGAAGCGTTAAGATATGTATACATTTTCATTTTCGATTTTTTTGCGATTACTATAACTCACCTTACAAGAAGTTAAAAAATACCAATTATATTTTGCTTTAAGTAGCATTAATATTCTAAAATTCATAAGCAAGAAATATTTACCATATCTCAATTCCCTTTATATAACTTTGAACAAAAGTTTTGGACTACGTTACGGCGAGTTTGTACAACTTTTGTACAGAGTTTTGTACGGAAGTTGCAAAACTATATGTTGCATCTAAATTTAAAGCTACGTTTAATAACTACGAGCTTCATATAAATTTAGATGAAAGTTATTTATATCTAGATTAAATATAATGGTGCTGTAGATGGTAATTTCTTAGCAAATATTTGCTTAGCTCAAATATTCCGGTCTACTGACAGAACAGATCTCAATCAAAGCTTTTGCTAATAATAGACATCTCGGCTTTAAATTGTTATGTCACATTATATGAATATAAAATACTTTCACTAAATTTACTTTTCATACATTTTATATATTTAACCCTTTCCGCTCCTATGTCAAATGTCACTTAAAAAGTGGCAAAAAGACAGAAGGCTTGGAATGTAAAGGGTTTATGGCTCTTGATTGCTAATTTAACTCTAATTATCATTTACCCAGGTGATCTGAGCGATGCAGTGAGTGATGTGATAGATTCTTCAGATGATCCTGCTTATGCTGAGAAAAAACAGAGACGAAAAGACAGGCGAAAACACTATCCTTATTCGTCTGCGTCCAGTAGCGACCTGGACTATAGTTATCAAACCAGGAAGAAAAAAAAGACATCTCGTGCAGAATTACAAGTTATGTACACGAAGTCAAGATCACGTGATATAGAGAAGCAACAGTTGATGGATGATGTCAGTATGCAAGTTTTCAATATTGAATCACGGACCTCTGACGAGACTGATAGCGATTTTTCGGTATAATCATATACTAATTAATTGTATAGTGGAAATAAGGTAAGCTTTGTATCTTTTATATAAAAGGATTGGTATTTCGTTGCATGTGCTGAATATAGTGGAGAATAAAAAAATTAATTAATTTTTTATAATTATTAATATGGTTAATAATATAGTAGGAGATTGAATGATACCTACATGATTGATTAATAAAAAGGTGATTTTAAGTCTATAAAATATTATCAGATTTGTTGCATTAAGATTGTGATTACATTGGCCATGAATAAATATGCGATTATGACTTTATTAAAGTGTCCAGATTATTTTTTATATTTGAGAATTTCGTGACTTCATTGTCATATTGAGCAATTCTTAAAAAAGTCAAAAAGTAAAATTCTCAGAGTTAAAAAGTACTCTAGAATTTAGAGATAATTTTTTTTTTCTTTCATTATATATAATTATTGTTTATAATTTTTATCTGAATAAGCATGTGTGTGTATAAGCATATTATGTATTTACGTGTATATTTGCAAAATTTTAGTATATAAATTGTTTGTAATAATATTTACTGTGATCTCTTACACCAGATATATTGTCTGATTGAGATACAGTTATATATATATAACAGATTTTCTTATACACTTATATTTTTAATATATAAAAAAATTAAATATAAAAATTTGTAG